TTGGGGTTTAGGGCTTAGGGTTTAGGGCTTAGGGTTTAGGGTTTAGGGCCTAGGGTTTAGGGCTTAGGGATTAGGGTTTAGGGTTTAGGGTTTAGATCTTAGCGGTTTATGGCTTAGTGTTTAGGCTTTAGAGCTTAGCGTTTTAGGGACGTGAAGCGCCCACGAGCTTGCTACGAGATCCATCCAAGGCCTTCAGAAAGTTCGGGCATAGAGCGCGCAGCGCGAAATGCAATGCAAAGTTTCGTAGCATGAGCCTTTGATGCTTAACCCTAAACCTGAAAATTAAATGCCCTAAACCCTAAGCCCTAGGCCCCAAAGCCCTAAAGCCCCCAACCTTAAAACATAAACGCCTACCCCCTAAAGCCTTGGAGCACCCTCAACATCTAAAGACCCTAAATAGTTAGGCCTATGAAGCAAGGGCCCTCACGATCTGAATCCCTAAACCCATAAACCCCCTAAACCCCGGGTTTAGGGTTTAGGGTTTGGGGTTTTGGGTTTAGGGTTTATTTAAAACGCTTCGCGTCGTCCGCCTCGGCCCGGCCGCAAACAAAGAGGGCCAACGAAAACTGCTGGTGCTGAAGGCGCCGTTGGCGGAGCGGATGAGGGGAAGGGGGGGAGATTGCGTTCGGCGGCGCAGCCAGAAGCAAGGCAGATGAAGCAAGGAAGGAGTCAAGGCAGGCTTGGGGGGGGCGGGGGAGGGGGGGGCAGCAGGGCAGGAAGAGGGCAGGGGGGGGACGGGGGTGGACACTCCCTACGCAGAGCCCAAATCCCCATTAAGGATTAGAAGTGGGGTCTAGAGGAAGTCCGAATAGGAACCTCTGACAGCTTCGGCCGGGGGCCGAGGCGAATTTAGGGTTTGGGGTTTATAAATGCTAAACCCTAAACCCGCGCGGACCACAGCGCGCCGAGGCGCAAGCCGAACTTCCCGCTGAAGATCCATTTTGTGCAGGACGGGACCGGCTTTTTCAGCTCCTAGACCCGAGTCCTTAAAAGGGTGTAGAGTTTAGGGTTTAGGGTTAGGGGAAAGGGTTTAGGTTTAGGGTTTAAGGTTTAGGGTTTGGGGTTTAGGGTTTAGGGTGAATCCTTAAACCCTATTAGGGTTCAGGGTGTGGTCTAGAGGTTAGAAGAGCTGGAAATACTCTTACCCAGGGCTCCTCAAAGCGATTGATATGATAGATGCATGCTTGTCAGACCACCCTAAACCCTGAACCCTAAGCCCTAAACCCTAAACCCTACCACACCACAGAGTCATTGCTTGGGCAGCACTTTACAGGTCGTAGAGCTAGGCCGCACCCCGCGGCAATCCCTCGAGATGGCATGGAACCAAATTTGGGGGTCCAAGAACCTTTAGGCCTTGAGATGAGTAAGGGCTTGGTTTAGGGTTTTAGGGTTTAGGGTTTTTTGCCTGGCCGTCTAGTGGTTAGGGTTCAGGTGCCAAGCCGGCCAAGCCTACAAATCCCTGATGGCATAGCGCATGTGACTTCTTCGCGACCACGGAACTCATGCAAATCTGGCACGCCCAGGTCACGGATTTCATGGACAGGTTGATGGAAATTGGAGACACCTTGATAGAGCATGTCCTGCAGATGCTTCATCATATCAAACCACTATGGCATGTTATTGCATACTTCTCAGGGCAATGTCTCTTCGACCGTCATTGGCACCATTGCTTCGCCGCACATGTTACAACGCGCGCAAAAAAACCCACAGTGCCGTTCGATGCACCCTAGACCCTAAACCCTAAACCTTAAGCCTTAAACCCTAAACCCTAAGCTCTAAAGCCAGGATGTCCATCCGACAGTGGATAAGTCGGATGCCTTCTACGCCTGGCAGGTCCTTCCTGCCAGAGCATCAAATTTCGGTTTAGGGTTTAGGGTCTAGGGTTTAGGGTTCAGGGTTTAGGGTTCCTTAATCACACTTTCAAGGGTCACTATCCTAACCAAGCCCCCCAAAAGCTATTATGAAACCTGCTTAAGTATCAATATCATTCCCTTGGGGTTCTTTACTATTGTATAGCAGAATATGCCCCAAAAGCTCATTCTACTTATTCAGGCCCCGATATCATAAAAGTTGTATGCGAGCCCCTATAGATCCCAAAGAAACCTGAAAGGGATAAGTTCAGTGATGTAGAGGTGTCAGGTTTGAGGCGAAAAATATTTGAGCTCTGCCTCCATGGTGACTGTGGCTATCACGGGCGCATCCCAGGTCTAACGGTGTAGGGCTTTGGGTTTGCGGCTTAGGGTTTCTAGCCTGAAACAAACGAGGGAGCTTGGTATTAGGGTTGCAGGGTTTTCAGGGTAAGGGATTTCTCGGCCATGGGATTGTGTGGCTCAAGTCAAGGTCTAGGGGCTTGCGGCTGTAGGATTTCAGGGCTTGGAGTTCAGGGGTGATGCTAGTTTCAGACCCTGAACCCTAACCCCTAAACCCCTAAACCCCTAAACCCAAAACCCCTAAACCCTAGACCCTAAACCCTAAACCCTAAACCCTAAACCCGAAACCCGAAACCCGAAACCTTAAACCCCTAAACCCCTAAACCCTAAACCCGCTTTAAGATAGGCCGATGCCAGAATATGTAGATCGGGGCTTGCGGTTCAGCTTCGCTCTTGTGGAGAAGGGTCCGCAGGTATGCAGCTGTGTACCAACGGTTTAGAGTTTAGGGTTCAAGGGTTTAGGGTTGAGGGTTTAGGGTTTAGGGTTTCGGGTTTAGGCTTTACAAAACACCTTGAAGGAGTTTCAAAGCTCCTACATTCTAAACCCTAAGCCCTGCATTTCTAAACCCCAAACCCCAAACCCTCAACCCTAAACCCTACATTGCTAAACCCCAAACCCAAAACCCTACATTACTAAAGCCCAAACCCTAAACCCGCAGCTGGCTGTACGAAAAACCGTCAGGCGGTTGCTTCTACGCTCTTTCAGAAAGCAGCGAAGCTTCTTGTTAAGAAGCTAGAGGCATGCAGCCACCGAGACGAGGTCTGGGAAATGCAGTTCAACGGGACAGGGCTCTTCACGATGTACGCCAAAGCAAAGCGAGACATATATGATCTCGACAAGTTCGAGAACAAGACCCGTGTCTACTACGAAGCTTCGGCAGTTGTGACAGCAGTCCTTGGATCCTATGTCAGGGAACTCCTCTCAAATGTGAGATCTGGATTAACGGTAACAGCAGAAAGACTGTTGCAAAACGAATCGGGGTGTTGCTCCATAAACCCTAAACCCTAAACCCTAAACCCTTAACCCTAAACCCTCGCAAGCAACAGGCGTCGGCATGTTAAATGGTGAAGCACAGGAGCTCTACTCAGTGCTCCGGTTTAGGGCTTAGGGTTTAGGGCTTAGGGTTTAGGGTTTAGGGTTTAGGGGCTTGAAAGATGAAAACTGTTATGGTGCCTCAATCACAGGAGACACATTGCTCATGGCAATCCTCGATCCAGAAACGGAGAACCTTCACTTCCAAGGCTACTTGACACCTGACGTTTCTTCGTCAGACAGGAGGACTAGACCTGGCGGAGTCGTCGTCCTAAACCCTAAAACCCTAAACCCCAAAAAGCCCTGAACCTTAAGCCCTAAATCCTAAAAGCCCTACACCCTAAAGACCTAAAGCCCTAAACGCCCTAAACCCTCTAAAGCCGGAGCCCCCTCCCCCGGCCAGGTCGAGTGGGGAGCTCTCCGGCAAGGTCAAGATCCAGACCTCCGGGACCAAGACCCGCCCAAGAAGGAGCAGCTTTAAGGGGTTTAGGGTTTAGGGTTTAGTTTAGAGACATAAAATTGTGGATGTTCTTAGTCTTAGTCTTGCTCTTCTTCTTATCATTGTTTTTATCATGTATTCTTTTTGTTAGAACTATTCGTGTGAACACCATCATCACCATTCTCATGGTTTTTATCATGAATACCACTATTATCATTATTGCTATTACTACTATTACCAGGTGTTTGCTTACGCTTCGTGTTGATTTTTGAAACCACGGTTTCTTTGCGGGACGTGTATAGAGACTTGCTGTTCATATCTGCTAGGTTCCCCACCCAGGACCCACCAAACCCTAGACCGTAAACCCAAAGCCCACCCAAGCTGGAGCAGAGGCTTGTGGTTGATTCCTTTGCTAGCTTTGCAGGGGTTTTAGGGTTTAGGGTTTAAGACCTCTGGGTGTTAGGGTTCAGGGCATTTTGGACCCTTAACCCCTAAACCCTAAACCTTAACCCCTAGACCCTAACACCCTAAACCCTAAACCTTAAACCCTAAACCCTAAACCCCACACCCTAAAAGCCTACCCCAAGGGTCAAAGATTGAGCTTCGATTCTTCAGGGTCTCGGGCAAATGAACTGCTGCTGAGGCTACCGC